CTTGCGCTGCCGAATTCCCATCTGCGCGCAAGCTCCAGTGTCTGCGCTGCTGAATTCCTTGACAGCCCCAATTCTCGTCCGCCCATATCCCAGACGAGTTTTCCTGTCTCGCTTGGACATTCCATCGCCAAGCCCATAGACATCACCAATCTGTGCTGCCGCATTCCTCGACAGCCCCAGTTCTCGCCAGCCTATGCCCCTGACGAGTCTTCCATTCTGGCTTGGACATTCCATCGTCAAGCCCAGCAATCTGTGCTGCCGATGTTTCCTTTTACAAACTTACAGCCGTATAAATCTGCGCTGCTAATATATCCCATCGTTGGCATGGCTGCCAGCACCCTTACGCCTGGTATTAGACAGCATGCCTTAGGTGTGCACCCCGTGCACATTTAACACTGTAACAGTTGGCTTGCTATTTAATTTATATTGTTTTTCGAAAGGAAAGTACTAAATTGATGTTAAGTATTTTTCAGCAGTCGAACCATCAGTACTGCTCCCCTACTTGTTGGGGGATGTGGAGATAATCACCTGGGATTTTAGAGACTCTACATGCATGGATCTGCGCACACGAGAGTTCATGTACATGAAAGAGCACAACTTTCAATCTAAAAGTACAAAGTATAAGCTAGTTATTTTTCTTATTTTTACCTATGTGATGTTTACATGTATAATTTTTTTTAAAAAAGCTTTTTTTATCAAAAAAACTAATTTTCTTTGATATAATTTAAATGTCATACATGACAAAAACACATTTAAAAGTCTTTTTAACATAATAATAAACGTTAAAGGGAAAACTTTTAAGATAATGATAAACATTAAAGGACACATTTAAAAGTCTTTTTAACATAATAATAAAGGTTAAAGGGAAATCTTTTAAGATAATGATAAACATTAAAGGAAAGATAAAGGATAACAAAAGAATAGATGTAACTTTGTTTTATTATCATAGAAATATAAAGTTGGTACATGATACGTTATAAGTTACAAAATTCAAAACACAATTATTTTTCTAGCAATAACTAAAAAACATATATTTTTTTAATAGATATGCTTTAAACATATTTAAATTGATGAATTTAAAAATTTAAAAATTGTATTAAATAAAAAGTCTTAACTGCTATATGTTTATGTAAAAAAAAATCATTTCACTTGCATGTAATGATTTATTGCAAAAAAAATGAAATGCATTCACAGAAATTAATTAATTTTTAAAAAATATATACTTTAATAAATTGTATACCCAACACATAGAAAAACTTGAAATAAATATCATCTAAAAAATTCATAAATTTGAAATGATTTTCCCATCATATTAACTATGTATTTTCTGAATGAGGTAAATATTAAAGATTTTATTAATTATATATAAATATATAAGTTAAAAAGGTTATAAATTACATACCCATTCTACATAACTTTTTTATTGTCTTTTATTTTTTTTAAATTTAAAATATTTATTTATTCAGTTTCTATTTAATTCAATGTAAATACTTACTAAACCTTTAAAAAAAATATAAAATAAGATACATGTTAAAGCTTCAACTATATTATTAAAAATATCTTAACATTTGTCTAAAATCCCTCAACACGGACTTAAAAAGAATAAAGGTTTTGAGCAGTCATATAAAGATGTTTCCCTTCCCTCACCAGATCTTCCCTCCCACCAGAACCTCAAATGCTAGCCATCGGCATTTCCAGAACCTCTTTCTTCAACCACAGCGTCTTCCACCTTAACTCCATAAAGCCCTTTCCCAAACAACAGCGTTTCCTTCTCCCTTCCCCTGACCGCCCTCACTGCCTTCACTCTCCCTTCCTCCGCTTACCCTTGAAGCCACCCCCCC